GTGTGTGTGTGTGTGTGTGTGTGTGTGTGTGTGTGTGTGTGTGTGTGTGTGTGTGTGTGTGTGTGTGTGTGTGTGTGTAGGTATAGAAGGGTCAGTAGAGTCAGAAGGGCCATGCTTGGCCACACTTTGAAGTGATGGTTTGTTATGCAGTTGTTGAGGGGAAACAATAACAGATCCTCTTAAACTCTGACCCCATAGGAGAGAGTGATGGGAGTGCCGAGCTCATTTGCTCTCAAACAGACGCTCGCCCTAAAAACCATCCCCACACTCACAAGGATCCTGCTGACCTTCCAAAGTGTGACATTGGCTGTGCGGAGAGTCTGCTTGGAGTGAAGAACATAGCACTTCCATCTGAAGATTTGTTTTCCTTTATAAAGGTACTTTCAGAACCATAATGTTAACTTGAGTTCACTCTCTTCTTCTCCTCGCTCCCCCACCTGAGTTTTTAGGTCTTCAGTTTCTCTTTGTAACAGTTTACCTGACTTTTACAACTAGCGCCATATTAAAAGCTTCCCTTCTAGTCAATTATTCTTCCAAGGTTGTATCTCAGAGCTAGAGTGTTTAGAATAAAATTGCTGTGATGTTTCTGATGAGAAGTCATTGCAAGGAACACAAACCTCACTTTAACATAGATTGGCTCATCACTGTGGAGTCTGTGGAGCCATGCTCATTCTCTGTCACGAGATAAGAACCAGGCAAAAACTAGGGCCAAGCCACAGTTCTTTGTTGGCTTGAAGAGGAATATATGGTAGAAGGAAGTAGTCCAGCATCGTGAAGATGCACTAACCTCACACCTGCTATTAATATTAGTAGGAAATTTGAAAATTGTAAATGTCATGATTATGTAAACATTTCTTAACATATACTTGTTTTTCAGCATAAAATCGCAACATGGGAAGACTGGAATAAACTCATTCAGCTCCTCACTGAATTCCAAAAGCAGAATGTCGATTTTTTGTATAGTAATCTTGAATTCATTCTGCCATTGCCAGTTCACATCATTCCAGAATCAAAAGACCATGGTATTTTGCCTGTAACTTCATGTGCCCCACCAGCGAGGAAGAATGAGAATCCTCTGAAAACCCAGCACTCTGAAGAAGGCAGTTCTCTGGTAAAGGCCAAGAAGACGAGGCGTCAGAAGAAGATGATCACGTTGGATGACAGCGACTTGTTTGACACTAGTTTGAATTATTCCGATGAAGGTGTTAGTTGGCCATCAGCCATTCCACCCTCAAGCTCAGAAGAGAGTAGCTCTGCCCTCAAACCGAGTGCCAAAGGGAAGAAAAAGAAACCCTTGGAATCCAACCTATTTGTTTCTCTTCCTCCTGAAACTCTGGACCAACAAAAATGCCCTGCTCTTGTTTCTCATTGTTTAAATTCACTAACTGAATTTATGGATAATATGTCTTTCTTAGATTCCCTTTTACCTGATCGAAGGGAACAAAAAGAATTTGGTAAAAATGAAGACTTTAACTGGACGAATGGCAAGGTCAAAAATGGCCTTTGTGATGAGTTTAGGCAAGAGCCCAGTGATGGCTGCACTTGCCGAGGCTCAGAAGAGCTGAAGGCGGTCGTGGAAGCGCTCAGTTTTACCAAGTGCTGTTCCATGATTTCAGAAGTTTTGGAAACTTCTTTGAACTCTTGCAAGAAGTTAGGAAAAGATCCAACCAGGGACCTCACTTTGTGTATTTCAGAACAGAGAAATAACGCGTACTTCAGTCAGTCTGCCGCAGATGTGGGGTAAGTCTGAGTCCTTTTTTTAGTTGAATTTTTGTCGATATGGTTTCTCCTTGTAGTGCCTTTGTTTCCCAGTATATTCTCCCTGCTTCTCCCACCTGGAGAGCCATAACAAGAATCCAGTATTTTTTTGAGTGTAATAGAAACATGGGGAGGAAATGATCCCTCGGGTTGAATTTTCTAATCTTCTAACACCACAGATGCTTAGGTCATGACATATACTGTGAATTCATTACTACACAGCAGAAGACGAAGTTTTCTATGCTGATGGTGCCATGTACAGTAAAAGATACTGATTTCAGTTTGATATTTCATTAGCTTTCCTGTGTCATTAAAATTCTTCTTGATGTACAGTAAAAATAGACTTTGTATATTTTATATTTGTGTGCAAGTATTTAAAATAACAAAAAGCCTGGGTTACAAACTGTATGTTTGGTTGTGATAGCTCTTCTTTCGGCTGATGTTTTTGCTGCCTGGAGCTGAAACAGATGATGAGAGTCCAGGTTGGACAGGTAGGTAGGATCAGGGCCAGATTAGGGAGGAGCCTCAAGTGCTGGACAGACCTATGGTCAATTAATGCAATAGACATTTAAGAGCCATTGAGGATTTTTGAACAGAAGAATCATGTGATGAAAGCAATATCTGGAAAAAAGTTCGTTTTTGTAGCAGTGTAAGATGAAAGAGAAATCAGTTTGAGTGTTCAGTTCTGTTTTTATTGGATATATATCTATATCTATATCTATCTATCTATATATATATAAAAGATTAATTATTTCCTTTTTAACTTGCAGCAAAGCACAGAAGAGGTTGGCAGTCGTAAAAGCTGTATTTTCTGGTAAGTCTCTTCTAAACCTGGGGAGCAGCAGGCAGGCCAGCCTCGCTGAATACTTACCGGCCCTCCGGAGCATCTGTAGGACGGAGAAGTTAAAAGAACAAGAAAGGAATAAGAGAAGGTAAAGCTCTGAGAATGCTTCTGTGGCCTGTCTTCATTAGATGAAAAGAGACATGACCAAACTATTTCTTCTTCTTTCCCTTTTGATAGGTTCCTGCACTATTTTGAAGGAATTCATCTTGACATACCCAAAGACACTGTGAGCCGTTTGGCAGCTGACTTCCCCTAGTGTTCTGTGCTGATGGTGCCATGTACAGTAAAAGATACTGATTACAGTTTGATAGTTCATTGATTTTCCTGTGTCATTAAATTTCTTCTTGATGTACAGTAAAAATAGACTTTGTATATTTTATATTTGTTTGCAAGTATTTAAAATAACAGAAAGCCTGGGTTACAAACTGTATATTTGGTTGTGATAGCTCTTCTTTAGACTGATGTTTTTGTACTTTTCTCTTGTCTGATCTGACCTTTTTTTTTTAAACTTTATTTCTTTGTGGATGAGTATGTTATTTCTTCTGGAGTGTAGATTTAACCCAGATGTGTCCAGAAATGTTTGTGTTCCAAGTTATTCTCAAAAATTTTCTCCTTCACTGCCACCCTGTTCCACTGACAGGACCAGGGCTTCTTTTAATTTAATTATGAATTTCAGTAGCAGGACAATTTCTTCCAAAATAGATTTTGCAGAATTCACCCCCAGCTTGTTTGACTTTGTTGTTGAAAACATGCATGTTGCTAATTTAAGACTTTTAGAACCACGTACCATAGACATACTTTGAAGAGAACTTAATTTCAAGAGTGAAGGAATTGACTTTAATTCTAAAATGGAAGTTTTCCCTATTGCCTTGATATTTAGTGATATTGGATTATCTAGACAGTGGAGTTTTATAAATATTTTTCTGCTATCATCTTTGTCAACCTACCAATTGTTTTGTACATTTTTCTACCTTTTTATACCTTTGATGTGTAATATTTCATAAAGATTTTAACAAAGTTTCATATGACTGAACATTTTATATACCTTTTTCAAGATTAATTGAATTTGGTCATATTTGGATGAATTATTCTTGATCAGTTTGTATCTTGAGGTGACTGAATTCCTGTATTTTTCCAAATAACTGTTAAGGTATTTCCTTTTAAGATTTTGCTTTCTGATTAAAGAAGGAAAATGTAATTAAATGATTTAAAATATGGTCAAGTTGTACTTGAAATTACTTTGCAAATGGTTCAACCAACTCTACTTTTTAAAAATTTTTTAAAAATTAATTTATTTTGAATTATCAACAATCACTTCCATAAGCTTTTGAATTTTAAATTTTTCTCCCCCTCTCTCCCTACCTTCCTCTCCAAGACAGCACACGCAATCTGATATAGGCTATACATATACATTCCTATTAAACACATTTTCAAATTAGTGATGTTGTAAGTAATAATTAGAACTAATAGGAGGAACCACCAGAAAGAGGAAACAAAACAGAAGAAAAAAAAATAGCAAATAGTATGCTTCAATCTGCATTCAAACTCCATAGTTCTTTCTTTGTATGTGGACAGCATTTTCCACCATGAGGCCTTTGGAGATGTCTTTGATCCTTGTATTGCTGAAAAGGGTTGAGTCTATCAATATTAGTCATCCCATAATGTAACTGTGCACAACATTCTCCTGGTTCTGCTCACTTCACTCAGCATCAGACCCTATAAGTCTTTCCAGGTTTTTCTGAAGTCAACCTGTTCATCATTTCTTATAGCACAACTGTATTCCATTACATTCATATACCACAACTTGTTCAGTCATTCCCCAATTGAGGGCGTCTTCTCAATTTCCAATTCTTTGCCACCACAAAAAGAGCTGCTATAAATATTTTTGTACATGTGGGTCCTTTTCCCATTTGTATGATCTCTTTGGGATATAGCCCTAGAAGTGCTATTGCTGGGTCAAAGGGTATGCACATTTTTATAGCGCTTTGGGCATAGTTTGCTCTCCAAAATGGTTAGATCATTTCACAACTCCACCAACAATACATTAGTGTTCCAATTTTCCCACATCTTCTCCAACATTTATCATTTTCCTGTTTTGTCAGGTTGGCCAATCTGATAGGTGTGATGTGGTACATCAGAGTTGTTTTGATTTGCATTTCTCTAATCAATATAACCAACTCTACTTTTAAATGAATCATAAATTAGAAATATCTTCCTGATTTTTTCCATCAAATAAAAAATCCTTTATTAGTCACTTACTATGTGCCAGCCTTTTGACTTAGGCATCTCAGATAACTAAATAGGTTATACATTTACAAAATTAATATTCAGGGACACAGATTAATAAAGTAGAAAATTAATATTATTTAAAATATGAGAAACTCATAGATGCTTAGGAAAGTTTTATCAACAAATGGAACCCAAAGAAATTATACGTGGTTACAATATTGTAGTTGAAAAAAAATCACTAAAAAGCAACCAGTCTCTGAGTAATTGAAAAACCATTGGTAACCTTAGAAAATAGATAATGAAACAAAATGAATCTTTAGTTGGATACTTGTATGGCTGTAGTTTTCCTTAACTGGTTTCTGAATATTAAAGGAATAGGAAATCTTAATGTAGTATTGGAAATCTTTGATCATTGTGCACATTTTCCAAACTTTTCTTAAGTATCAAGTTAGTATATTGGTTTAATTAATGGCCAAAGGAAAGCTTCATTGGTATTTTGAAAAAGAACTATAGGCATATAATTTTGGGGGGCACATGTCACTTTTGGCTTTGAAAAGGTAAAAGTAAGTGACATTTGCTGAAAGAGCTTCTTGTGAGGCTGTAAATGAGCTTTCTCTGGATCATGATTTTATTGGTATTCGGAGCTACCTGTGAAGAGCGACCTCTCCACAATGCAGGTCAGCACTTCCTTGAAACTTAAGAGCAGAAGGTTTCTTAGCCCTCCCGGGGTTATGGGACTTAGGCAGGATCATCTAGTTAGCATGGGTCAGACATGGGACTTGAACCTAGGGCTTCCTGCCTCCAGGGATAGTCCACTTTACCACTCTGCCTCTGACTGGTAGTTAAGAGTAAGTATTCCTCCCCGCCCCCCAATAATATTTCTCAAGACAATAAAGGGATGTAGGAAGACAAACAGTGCCTCATTTCAGTAAAATAATTACAGAAGGTACTTAAAGTGATCTGATAAAATAATAGAATTTAATGGGGCACTTTTTCTTTACACAATCTTAGGTGCCAATATATCTTTGGTTATTTTATGTCATCTGGAGGAACGCATCTTGGAAAAGAGTCCTATGTGATTGCCTCAGTTTTACCCATGAACAGCTCGGCTCCCAACATTCCATTCAAGTCATAGTTCTATACATCACAGTGATGTGGAAATGAGCTTGGGTTCTTGAGGACCCACCAGGAGAGCACAAGGTCTGGCAGTTCTATAAGAAAGGTGAGCTTAAAGTATGGTATCCGCAGCACATTGTACAGCAATGTCTAAGGACCATCTCCACAAGTTTGGCCAATAAGTTGATAGGATTTTTTTTTTTTTTTTTTTGCATGGGGTGGGGGGATGAGGACAGCAACTCAGGAAGATTATTAAGATCTGCAGAAGGAGATACAATCTGCATTGGTGGAGGGAACAGTCATATCATTGAAACAACAAAGCAAATAGGGCAAAAGGATACATTTAAACTGACTTAGATGATTTTAATATTCTCGAGAAAAGAAATGTGGCTTTGTAAACTTTGACCCATAATGTATGCCAAAGGCATGAACTGTGATTCTTGGCTTTTTTAAAAAAAATTTTTTCCAGTGAAGCATTTATTTTCTCTTCCTCACCCATAGAAAAACAAAATAAGACCTTGTAATACATGCATACTCAAGGAATTGACCATGTTCCAAAATGTATCTCATTCTACATGTTGGCTTTTATGTTACAAGTTCAAAGAAACAAACTTTGACTAGGAACATTGATTTGACTTCTAAGTTGTGTGGTTTCAGCTTTTTTGATCAAGTAACATCAGTAAAAAATAGAGTATTTCTTATACATAACCTGTGTAATTGTTCTAGTTGTACTATTTCACTAAAAGGTCCTCCATTGATAGGAGATACAATTAATGCAGGGGTGCTTGGAATCATGTAACTCTGGAGTCACTTTTTTTTTTTTTTTTTTTTTTGCTTTTTGGTGAGGCAATCGGGGTTAAGTGATTTGCCCAAGGTCAGATAGCTAGTGTCAGGTGTCTGCGGGCACATTTGAACTCAGGTCCTCCTGATTATCAACTGCGCCACCTAGCTGCCCCTTGCAGTCACATTTTCAATTACACATCCGCAAGCTTGTCAGTGAAGGTACTATTTCAGTCTTTGTGGTTTAGAAACCACACCTTTTTATATTGTATCTTTTAAAAATGTTTTATTGGTGCTTCTTTTTATATGATTGTCACTTCCCAATGATTCCTGCTTCCTCCCTCACCCCATAGAACCCTTCCTTCTAATGAATTAAGTATAGTCAAACCTCATTCCACACCTCTTGACCAACGCCTGTGCTGAGATGGGGCATGTTTCACCATTAAGAGTTTTGAAGTCATGATTGGTTGTAAGTAAGGTGAATTTTAGTGTGTGTAAAAAGGATTGTTATTCCTTTTTAGATAATAGTTCTAGAATCCTAGAAAATATTTCCCACGAATTATGGTTGAAAACATCACCACGCTTGCATGGTGAGATATAGGGATGACATAATGTACGCCTGTGCTGTGCTAGGTCATGACAATATTGCTAAAGTTAACCTGTGAGCTTAATGTCGGCAAGATGCCTTCTTTGTCTGTTGCCCTATAAAGCAAGTGGGCACTGGTCAGTGAGTGGGGACCCTCGTGGGGTGAATGCACAAGCTGGAATGCTGTATGCGCCTTGATCGGCCCCCATCAAGGCTTGGGAGGAGATTTAGGGGAGTACACAAACTGTGCTTGTCTCAACTGACCCCCTTCACGCCAGCCCCTGCGAGAAGGGTTGTTAGGGAATGCTATAGGGGCTGGTGCTCCCATTATCAACAACACTCTTTTGAGAAGACTGGACTATAATGAAATAAGCTTATTTAACCCCTCCGAAGCCATCTTCCTGTCTGACCAGATCAAAAGTGAACCTGGGCTAGAACACCTGTTAATGTTAGGAGCCCCCTCTGTTCTCCTGACCCAAAATGGTGTTCCCTGTGTGTTTATCTGTGAAACACTGGTCACCAAATTTGTATCAGAGTTCTGAAGTCTTTATTTGATACTTTAAAAAAGTTTTTACTATGTTAAGCCCTGGTAACAAATGAATGAATGAATAAAAACATATGTTAAGGTAAGGCTCATTCTGCGAAGCACTGTGTTAAGTGCTTAGTATGCAAAAAGAAAAGAGAGACGGTTCTTGCTCTCAAGGTGCTCATAGTCTAATGGGGAGAAGTAAAACACAGAGGGGGCTTCTATTGCAGTGCAGATGAAAAAAGACCAATGGTTCTGAGGATGGAGTCTGGCAGAAGAAGGCCTGATTGTGGGCCTGGAAAGCAATCCAGTTTGGTGAGTGTATAAATGGGAAATAAGGCTGGCCAGTGCTTTTCTTTAAAAATTATTATTAAATTTATTTTTAGTTTTTAACATTCTCTTTTATAAGATTTTGAGTTCTAAATTTTTCCCCTCCCCGCTCCCCGACGGCATGCAATCTGAGATAGGCTATACCTATACAATTATATTAAACAAATTTCCATACTAGTCACATTGTGAAAGCAGTGCTCCTTTTTTAAAAACGTTATTTGAACTGATGAAGCCTTACCTTGCAGCACCAAGGACTTTGATGGTGAGAACTCTTTTCTGGGTCTTAAAGTAACCATGAGAAGAGAGGGCCTGGTCTCCATGGGAGGTGCATGCCCACCATACTTGCTGCAGGAGAGGCTGAGGGCCACTGGATCTCTAGAGGTCAGGGGTTCTGAGCCACAGTGGCCTGGGCCATAGTTCAAGTTAACACATCAATGCACAGTGCCTGGCACATGGGAGATACTAGATAAATATTTATTGACCAATTCGTTGACAGTGTGTGTGTTGGGGGGGGAGGGTGGATGTGCCAGGTTACCTAAAGAAGGGGTAAACCAGCCCAGGTTGGAATCAGGTCAAAACCCCTGCAACATCAGGAGTGGGGATCGGGGCTGTGACTAGCCCTGGCACTTCCAGCCTAGAGGACCCAGGCTTAGAAAACAAAATGACATTATTCCTGGTGAGCTGATAGGGCTGGAAAACCACAATCTCAAAAGAAACAAAACTGCAAAAGACTCATCAGTATGCTACTTGTAGAACAACACGGCAGCTGCCAATCAGGCTGTCAACTGTTCATATTCCTCCCCAGGGACTCTAGAAGTAAGACTATACTACAAAGATGCTATTGATCAGGAAAAGGCTTTTCTGAACTGTTTTAAATTTAGATAAACTTTTTTTGGGGGGAGGGGTTGGGCAATGGGGTGAAGTGACTCGCCCAGGGTCACATAGCTAATAAGCGTTATATGTCTGAGGCCACATCTGAACTCAGGTCCTCCTGAATCCAGGGCCAGTGCTCTATCCACTGCATCACCAAGCTGCCCCTAGATAAACTTTTAACGATAGCTTTTGTTTTCACATCAGCAACATTTCCCATTGTACTCCTTTCTTCACTCTGCACACCCCTCCAGAGAAAGTCCCATATAAAGTATTGGGGATAGGAACTGGATCTATGGTTTCATTGAGATAAGGAACTCCCAGGTGAGGAAATTCCTTCTACCAATGTATGTAAGAACCTTCCCTGCAACTCAGTTTTAGGGTGCCTAGGGTAGTGTCAAACTCAAATAGAAACAGCCAAGCATACATAAGGATCCCTATGGCATCATATTGACCTAGAAAACCACATATTAACACGTTTTATTGCATGTTTGTTTTGTTAAATATGTCCCAATTACATTTTAATCTTATTCCATGGCACTCCAGAATATTGCCAGCAGGCTGTTTGACCCCTCTGGCTTACAGCAAGGAGAGGTTAACTGATTGATGAGGGTCTTATAACCCAAAGGAGAAGACTCAAATTCAGGTCTTCCTTACTTCAAGGACAGCTTCCTATTATCACAGAGGCCATGGAGGGAAGTAAAGTATAAGACCAGAAAAGCAGAAAGGGACCAGGTTGTAAAGGCTTTTTAAGAATCAAAAACCTTAAGAAAGGCAAAAAGAAAACAAATAATTAAAACACAATAGGCTTTGTCACTAAAGCAAAAGAGCTTTAATTATTCCAGTATCTCCTGGAAAAGTCACAGACATTAAAAACCCACACACAATGGGAATACACTTCCTTTGTTGATCTGCAGTGTAATTATACCTATGGCACACCTTTCAAGGGGGATGGTGATAGGCCTGTTTTGTGCTGTTCAGGCACCATCACCTGAGAGGACAGACAGGTAACTCTAGCACTGGGCGCCTAGCAGCATTCTAAAAACTGATCTGACATCATTTCTTAGGTGATCGCTAAAAAAAAGTATGAGCCATCTAGGTGTCTAAAATTCCCAATTTCAACCAATCATGTTCTCCCAGCCTTTGATATGAAAAATCAAAAAGTGGATAAGCTGCCAATCTTAGAAATGCTGCTAGTAAGAGCTGATGATAATTGAGACTCTTAATGGAGAACCTCCAATGCCTTCTTCTTCTCTCAACACAGACAGGATCTTGGTCCTAACCTGAGGCCAGGGAAGTTACTCTGAATTGCTCAAGATCACCCAGCTGGTAGAACTGTCACCAAACAAAAATCATGTCTGCTGCTTCTCAAAGGGGAGGAAGGGGGATGCCATGAGTTTCTGCCCGGCAGCTTGTAGACCTCTCGCCCCGACTCTAAGCCCTCCTGGCTGGGTGTCAGCTCTATCCACAGAGGCTGATGCAAAGGCACCTCTTCTACATCCAGTCCTGAAGAAACGAAGAAGAGGGTGACGAGCTGCTGGAGGACTGATGGGAAGGAAAGTCGGGGAAACCCCAAGGCCCGGGTTTGGAAATGTTTCTTTGTTGCCAACTTAAGTGGCCATGGTGCTGAGAGTTAGAAGGCCATCAATTTAGAGCTAGAAGGGCTTAGAATTAGAGGCCGTGGCGTCCAGCCCCTTTGTTTCACAGATATGGAAGCTGAGGTGACTTGCCCAGGCTCACACAAGGAGAAAGTATACGTAGTAGGACTTGAACCCAGAGATTTCGGATTCCAACTCCAGTGCTCTCTCCACTACACTATGCTGTGAGCAAGATAAGGTTTAAGAGCCTCTGCCTTGCGCCATCTTGCATCTAGGAAAAGCTTTATGAATGAGGGCCGAACACCAAGAGTTCATAAAAAGCCACTGCTTGCAGCAGGGAATCCCACAATTCTTCCTTTCTTTCTCTTACGTCAGTCTTTACCATGCTTCTATAGCGCATCACACTCTTAGAGGGGAAGGACACCCGGGACCCTGCTTTCAGTGCAGAGTCTGACAGAAACTGCCGGACCACAGCCATGCCGCTAGTCCGTACATTCCCAAGCATCAAATCAAAGTGTTTCCCTACCATATTCCGGCTCATGCTCAACACCCGATGGTGGCCATCTTGAGAAAACGTTTTGTTTAACAAGGAATACAGCATGGCCTCCACAACATGGTAATGTAATGCAATCGGAAACAAAGCTGTCTGCTGAAGAGAAAATATTCTTTTTTCCAAAATATAGAAATCTGCTTCAGGGATTTCTGAAACTACTGAAGAAATCTAAAAGCAAGGAAGAATCACAGAGAAGTCATTGGTGAGTCACTTTTTTCCCCTTAGCACATCATTATTTCCTAACACCAAAACTATTTAATCACTTTTACCCTGACTTTAGTAGTTGTATATATTTGATACAGAAAGATTAGATTATCCTTCAGTACTGTTGCATTACTCTGTGTTCTTTTTAAAAATTGGATTTTATTCAGAGTTGACACTAGAAATGATATTTTTACCATCAACAGGAACTAACTTTTCATAAGTGGGTTTTATAATGGGAAAACAGCCATGTGGGAGCCAGGAGCCGGGGCCACACCAGGCCTGGATCTCTCACTAAACAGCTGGAGAAAGTTTGGGCAAGTCCTGGAGCTTCAGTCACCTCATGGATAGGATGGCAACTGAGCAAGATGATCATGGGTCTTGTACCAATCTACAGTGACTATTTACCACATGATGTTTTCAAATCAACATTTGCTGAACTTGCTTTTCTTTCTTTTTCTCTTAATAAATGTATTTAAGATTAATATTCATTTTTTTAAAAAAAGTCTGAGTTCTGAATTTTCTCCCTCCCTCCCATCCTTCCCTACTCACTGAGAAGGCAAGAAATGTGATATCATGCAAAACATTTCCATATTAGCCAAGTTGCAAAAAAAAAAAAAAAAAAAAGGCAGGAAAAATAAAGGGGAAAAAAATACTTCAATCTGCACTTCCGACTCATCAGTTTTTCTCTGGAGGTTGATAGCATTTTTCATCATAAGTCCTTTGGAATTGTCTTGGGTCATTTTATTGATCAGACAAGTCTTTCACAGTTGATTATCATTACAATGTTGCTGTTATTGTGTACAACGTTATGCTCACTTCACTTTATATCAATTCATATAAGTCTTCCCAGGTTTTTCTGATAGCATTCTATCATGATCATATACCGCAACTGGTTTAGCCATTCCGCGATCGATGAGCATTCCCTCAATTTCCAACTCTTTGTCACCACAAAAAGAGCTGCTAGAGATATTTTTGTACATACAGGTCCTTTTCGTTTTTCTTTGATCTCTTTGGGATATAGACCTAGTAGTAGTATTGCTGGGTCAAAGGTTAGGCACAGTTTTATAGCCCTTTAGACATAGCTCCAAATTGTTCTCCAGAATGGTTGAATCAGTGCACAACTCCACCAACAGTGAATTAGTGTTCCTATTTTTCCATATCCCCTCCAGCATTTATCATTTCCTTTTTCTGTCTTATTAACCAACCTAGTGGGTGTGAGGTGGCACCTCAGAGTTGTTTTAATTTGCCTTTCTTTAATCAATGGTGACTTAGAGCATTTTTATGTAATAATTGATAGCTTTGATTTCTTCTTCTGAAAACTGACTGTTCATATTCTTTATTTATGAATTGGAGAATGATTTGTATTTTTATAAATTTGACTCAGTTCCCTATGTATTTGAGAAATGAGGCCTTTATCAGAGGAACTTGCTGTAAAAAAATTTTTCCTCCCAGTTTCTTACCTTCCTTCTAATCTTGGCTGCATTGGTTTTGTTTGTACAAAAACTTTTTAATTGAATATAATCAAAATGATTTATTTTTCTTCCCTTGAGCCTCTCTATCTCTTGTTTGGTTGTAAATTTCTCCCTTATCCATGGATCTAACAAGTAAAATTTTCCATGATTCCCTAATTTCTTTCTTTTTCTTTAAATAAAAAAAAATGGGACAAAACTCAGGAGACCTGGGTCCTAATTCTACCTTTGCCAGCTGTTAGTTTACAGGCAAAGTCACTTGTCTCCAATGGCAACATGAAGATATAGCCACAAAGCAATTGGTAAGACCTGCCCTGTCTACCTCTTCCAGTCAATGTGAGCATTAGATGAAAACATGGAGGCCCTTTCAAAAGTTAGACATGGATAACAAGCCTGATTTGGAGGCAGGAAGATCCACGACTAGGTGAATACCCCCCACCTCTGACCCTAACTGTGTGACTGTAGGCAAGTCAATTCACCTTAACTGGGATTTATTTTTCTCATCTGTAAAATAGGAATAACAGAATCTGTAGCTACTACCATCACCAGGCCACTGTGAGACTTAGACAAGATAATGTATGTAAAGAGCTCGGCACACTTTAAAGTCTTATATAAATGTCAATTATCATTACGTAAAATGGTGATGATTTTCTGAAAAATTTACAATACTGTAACTTAGTACTATTTTTTCCAGTGCTTACTAATAAAATTTTAGTCCTACTCAATTGTAAAAATGGTATTTCTAAAGACAACTGTGCACGAAGATCCAATGGGATAGAAGATCCAGTGGGATCCAGGTGAAGACAAACATAAAAAGAATAGATGGGGTCTAAGAACTATACCACAATTCTCTTTGTCCTACTCTTCCTTACAGTATGAGGACATAGATTAAGCTGCAAAGAGGGCTTTGGGAGCTAGACACTGGGAAAGACAACTTACTCACCGTTTCCAGATACACAGATGGTGTGAAGGTTTCTTTCATCAGTTTAAAGTTACTTCTTTGTTGCCAATCGAGAACCATTAGTTTGCTATCAAGATGAGCCCACGCAATTTTTTCTTTGCCAAAAACAACAGATACAATACTATTAGCTGCCTAAAACAAATAAAAAATATGGTTCAACTGCTAACATCCTTGAAGAGTGTAGGCACTGTAAAAGATTCCCTTTATATAGATGGCATACCTGGTCACTCTCTAAGCGCCTAGTCTTCCGTTTCCCACAAATAATATGGGTAATATACCAAGCATAAGAGGAAGCAATCACAACATTTTTAAGGCCTGAAAAGCACTATAATATGAGCTTTAGGACACGACCATGCTTTGCCTGGACAGATGCTACTGAAGACATAAGAATTATATCCTCTAAACCCTTTCATTCCCCGGTAGTAAGCCAGGGAATTATATTCAGAAATAAGGGATGGAAACCAATTTTTGAATCTGTTGGAAGCAACAGAGCTAAGTCTTGCTTTGGGAACAATACAAAAGCCCTACTGAAAGACAGACATTCTTCTTCAACTGCGCTGGAAAAGAAAAACTGCCTTTCTCATTTTTTTCTAACAGGTCATGGGTATTGTCAGAACCTGTTTAACATCAACACCTTTCACAGGCCCACAGGTGATGGAGTTGTCCTTACCTGTAAGTAACTGATGATTGAGAAGACACAGAAAAACAAAAAGAAACACGTGAATTTATATTTTATTAGTTATAGATATATTTATATATATATTTGAAAACCTCATACAAAAATGTGCAAGACATTCAGTCTACAGAAAAGCACAGGGGTTTATTCTCACAAGTCAGGCTGTGTGTTTTGTTGGTGATAAAGATAAACACAAGGCTGAATGTGCAGAGATGTGCGGCCCCTCTGCAGTAATTCCACAGCCATCAAGGTGGGCACCACTGGTAGAAGTCATTCCCGAACGCTTTCTCTTTCAATGATTATTTAATGTCTTGCCTGCTGGATCAAGTTCAACTCCCTGACCTTCCCAAACTAGCTCCGGCCTGAACTCTCTATTTCAGCCAAACTGGCCTGCTCACCACTGCCTACGTACAACAGTCCATCTCCTAGCTCCATGGCTTTGCTCAGGCTGTTGTCCAAGCCTTCCTCACCTCTGCCTTTTAGAATCCCTAGCTATCAGCTAAAGCGACGTCTCCTACAGGAAGCCAGTCTGATTTCGACATCTGCTAATGCCCTCTCCCCTAGAAATTAAACGCTTTATGTATTTTATATTTAGGTTTTCTACACACAGACGTGACTTTGTACAAGTCACATCACCTCTAGGCCTGTTTCCTCATCTTTAATATGAAGGGTTTGGCTTCTAAAGTCTCTTCTTGTTCTAAATCTAAATACATATAAGTTGCATTTCCCCATGAGAATATAAGCTCCTTGAGGGCAAGGACTATTTCATTTTCTTTCTTCTTTTAGCATCATTCCGTGCTCTGAAATCTGGCCCCAATATAGCTGAGTAACTTAGTTTTTCACCACCTCCCTCACATGCCTCCCCACTTTGTTCCAGCCACATTCTCCGATTCCTCTATTTGCCATCCCTCAAACAAGCTAGTTTTATCCCCACTTCTTCATTTTTGCTCACTCCCTCTCCTCCTTTCCAGATCGTGCCCATTCTTCAAGATCAAGGAAGCTTTCCCTGACTAATCAAGCCCACAGTTTTCTCACAGTCTTCTTCACTTCTTGGCTCACTGACGACACTTAGTTTCTTAATACTCAGCATATATTGCCGATGAAGTGTATGGGTATATATTAAGTGTATCTGTATGGGCTTTGTACCTCCAAATAGATAAGAGGCTCTTGAGGACAGGGACAATGTCTTTTTATCACCCAGTGCCTAGGACATTGATTTACACAGAATATGTAAGACAGATTTTAAGAAAAAGGCATACCTTAAGCTTCTTTTTTTCTATTCCTGGTTTGGCAACCTTTGTTAATGACCAGTTGTCCAGTGTTCTTTTCTCTTTTTTATTAGTTTTCGATACTGGCTGTAGAATTGAGTCACACACTTTCACTGTAATTTTGTACTGAAACAAGGGCACGTCCAATAAGCTCTCCAAATCTTGGAAAGGCCCATGCTTTTCCCTGTGCTTTACAATGTTGACAGACTTCCTTCCTCGAAGAAATGTGAAAGCAGCGAGTTCGTTCACAGACGCTGTATTGAGCACCTGCAAAATAGCTGATTTCTCTTCAGAAGAGTAGAGGCCTTCCAACTTTTTTCCAGTGTCCTTTAAGCTCTCATCTGACGGGGTTGAAACAAAGTCTGTTTTCTTCAATGGTGCTATCGATTTTCTCTGACAGCAGGACAGCAAAGGCTGGTACAGAGATGGGCACGTTGCAACCTGAAAATATTTCCACTTTCCTAAAATGGAAAAAAAAATGGGTCACATAGTTAATTGGAACTATAGGATCACATATTTAAAGCTGAAAGGATTTAAGAGTTCATCAAGTCCAGTATTTCTTAATTCAGGGTCTGGGAACTTAGTTTTGTTTTTTTTTTTAATATTTTGAACCATACTTCAATATGATTGGTTTTCTTTGTAATCTCATGTATTTTATTTTATGCATTTAAACTATGATCCTGAGAAAGAGATTGCCAAAGGAGCCCGACACAAACAAAAGTTAAGAGCCTATAAGTAACCCAACTCCCTCACTTTACCTAGGAGGAAATAAGAGTCCCAGAGAAGTACAGGAACTTGCCCAAAGGCACCCAGCAGTAAGGTCATAAATGGTAGGGCTAGAATTTGAACCCAAGCCCTCTTAATCCAGATCCAACACTCTTGCCACCAGACATCAGTGGTCCCCAGATTCCTTTCTCCTTTCTAACTAGGTGTAGGCCCTAAGTTTTATTTCCTATGTACTCAGATGTATTTATTTGTGTGTGCTTGAGGGAATGGGGGGACAGAATATATAAAGCTAAATTTTATTCCCTCTAAAGAGCTTCATCCTCAATGCAAAACAACCTTAGACTGGGCAAGTCTGCAGAAAGGGCCTGTAGAGGTAGTGGAGCCAAGATAGCCAATTAGGGGCAGTCACTCAGCTGAACTCTCCCAATATTTCCTTCTAAAGGACTGTAAGTAACACCTCAAATCAAATTTTCGAGCGGCACAGCAAACAAAAGGTTGGGGTAAGACATTTTTCAGGCCTAAGAAAACTTAAAGAGTCTGTGGCATTGGGGTAGAGGCCTGTCTGTGGCCCAGACACGGGGTAGTGGTATTAGTGGTGGCAGAAGCAGTTTACAGAGCTCTCAGCCCAGAGATGGTTGAAGGGGTCAGACAACTGTTCAGAAAGAGATTACTGGGGACCCTTTGCTAGCACTGGGTACAGCTGGTGCTGATTGGCAACTCCATTGCCCATATGCAGTTCTGGGTCCCAGTTCCAGGGCAGAGAGGAGCACTGGAGGTTAGCACAAGGCAGCAGGGGCTCTAGTCACTGTTTCAAAGCCGTGAGGATCACTAGCCCTTTCAGCGGCAGGGGGCCTGAGGCCTTTCTTTCCTGGGTAAAGACTAGAGCACAAATCACACCTTTCCCTGGATCACATTACCTTGGATGCACCAAAAACTTGTAAGAACCCCGGAACTTGCTGTGAAAACACCAGCTTGAAAAAGTCTAAAGTTTGGCACAGTGCCCCCCCACCCCAAGGTGATCAGAGGTTCAAAGTAAAAAAAAAAAAAAAGGCTAGAAAAATAAGCAAACAACAATCAAAAGTAAAGAATTTGACCATAAAAAGCTACTATGGTGGCAAGGAAGACAGAGACACAAACTCAGACCACTATACCAACGTGAAAACAGCGACATAAAAAGCCTCAAAGAAAAATACTAACTGGAACCAAACCCAACAAGAAAAAAACATAGCAAGATTTGTATGAACTGATAAAAAGTGAAGTGAGAAGAACCGGGAGATCATTGTGCACAGTAACGGCGATGTTCTAATGACGAATAAGATAAAAGACTTGGCTACTCTGATCAATACAATGATCCAAGGCAATTCCAAAGGACATATGATGAAAAAAATGCTATCCATTTCCAGAGAAAGAACTGACGAACTCCGAGTGCAAACTGAAGTATAATTCTCAGTTTATTTTTAAAATATAATACAGAATATATATAATATATAGATATAATATATAAAACATATAATACAGAAACGTTGTACATGATTTCACATGTATAATTCATATATTGCTTGTCTTCTCAATAGATGGGGGAGAGGGTGGGAAGGAGGGAGTGAATCTGGAACTCAAAATTTAAAAGGAAAAGAATGCTAAAAATAAGTAATAAATTGAAATGTTTAAAGAAAAAAAGAAAGGTCCTGCAAACACTCCATGTGTAATGGGGGGAGGGAGGGGAAGGGGCGGTGGAAGATACGAGTGGGGGAAAGGGGGGGAGGAAGAGAGGGGAAAGACCAGAAGGAAAGGAGAGGGGGATGGGAAGACGAGGATAAGGAGAGAGGAAGAGGGGAGGGAGGAGGGGGAGGGGAAAGGAGAGGAGGGGAGAGAAGGGATGGCGAGGAGGAGGGGGAGGGGAGGAGGACGTCCGGACGAGGCACGAGCTGTCAAGGCTTGGGGGAGGGGAGCGGTCACTCTCCGGGCCTGAGGGCCAGTGGGGCACAGAAGTGTCCGGACAGGACGGACACAGCGTCATCCGCCACGCACTTAGGGCCTTCTTACCTCCCGGGAACAGACGCAGGACGCCCGGAAAGCTCATGTTAAAATCGCCGCGTTTCCTGCCACCTGCCCTTACTTCCGGCCGGGGTTGCGCTTTTAGAAGACGGCTTCCGGCCCTGGAGCTCTGCACAAACGTTCCGGCCTGCAGTCCGGGTTCCGGGAGAGGAGAAGGGGACGAGGAGGCGCTCTGGTGCACCCTGACGGCCAGGCTTGGGCATGACGGGGGCGGGGCTTTCTCCCAGAGCAGAAGCTACCATGATCCTTTGAATGGGCTCCCCAGCAGTAAAAAAATTTTTTAGAACACCCCAGCCCATATTGTGTACTTATTTATGTAAATACTTATTAACAATAATGTACATTACATTAATGTAATACACCATTACTTATAATTATATTACATATAAATTATATTACAAATCAAATTATATTAGATGTGATTACATTATAAAACACACAAATAGAAATAAAAAAGGATGAGATGCAGATGAAATATTATTTTATCCTAGAGCCAGTAGGGAGCCACTGAAGGTTATTGGGGAGAGGAGGAACAGTCAGCGATACCTTTAGGAACATCTCTTTAGCAGCTGGCTGAAGGATGGACTAGAGGATAATTGCCTCACAGATTTAGAACTGGAAGGGACCTTAGAGGTCCTGGTCCAACCTCCTCATTTTACAGGCGAAAAACAGAGTGAATAAGAAATTAAGTAACTTGCCCACAGTCAAACAGCTAATAAGTGTTTGAGGTGGGATTTGAACCCAAGTCTGTTTTTACTCCAAATTCTTTGCCCTAGAAACCAGATCAGTCATTCAAAAAATATTTATTTAGGGCCTACTATGTGTCAGGCACTGTTCTAAGCCCTGGTGATACAAATAATAAAGAGAAAGATAGTTCCTGCCATCAAGGCACTTACAATCTAGCCCGGAAGACAAATAACAAAAGAATAAGGCAAGGTGGGGAAGGGGAAGGGGGTGGAAGGAGGGGTGGTAGAGTCCATCCTAGGGGTCCAGCTGGTGGGAAACTAAGAGTTGGTTGGTCTGTGAGCCCTCTTTAAATGAAGGCTTTGGGAGGAGTTCTTTGATCTGCCCTCCAATCAGAGGATCAGGGGATACTGTAGGTCCATGGTGTCAAATTCAAATAGGAAGGATGGGGTAGGGTAGGTATGCTAAAAAGAGGATCCTGGCTGGCACATGCTGACTCAGTTTTAAAATGTAATGTTATCTGTGTTTTACTGTATTTTATTTATTGTGTTAAATATTTCCCAATTACACTTTAATCTGGTTCTGACTGCATTCAGAATCGCCCTGGGATGCAGGTGGCCCCATGGCTGCATGTCTGACAGTTCTGCAGAGGTCTGAGTACCAAAGCTGGTGCAATTGGGAAGGATGATGAGTTTTCTGGTGAAGAGGTTTCCAAGGAGCACGATGATGGAGGAGTCCAGTCGATGAGTACAGTTGGTGGGAGATCAAGATCAAATCGTCCTTCAAGGCTTGAACCAAGAGAACAAATGGAAAGTTACATCCAGGAAGAGATGACGAGGACCTCAACTTAGGAGGTATTTGTGTGAATAGGGAGAAAGGGAAAGATGGTGGAGATGTGGACTTAAACTGACAAGATGTAGAAACTGACTGGCTGTATAAAATAAAGGAAAGTGATGAGTGGATGATGACTTTGAGGTTGTGCAAAACAGATGCCTGGAAGGATGACAGTGCCTGGGACAATGATAGGGGAATGGGCTGAGGGTCTGGGGAGAGTCTGTAAGTAAATTACACGGGAGAATTAAAACTTGCTGGTAGAATTCAGTGTTGGGATGGGAGAGAAATGGACTTTAAAATTATCTTTAAAAGAGAATCTATTCCAACTCCCCTCATTTTATACTTAAGCAAACTGAGGCCAAGGGCAGAAATGACTTGTCTAAGATCACTGTGACTTGGGACTAGAACAGTCTGTCTGATTGATTGTTTGTCTCCTGAATAGTATATATTGTAAATATTAAATTAAAAATAATAAATAGTTCCAGAATAGCAAACAACTATAACATTTAAACCATAGCATTGTACGTATTAATTGCTTACTCATGAACTGCATCATCACTAAAATTTTTTCTCATTGCCCCAAATACAGTGGGTTTCCTAATAAACCAACTGATCTCATTGTGAAGTATTTTTGTGTACTTACTACTTACCATATATAGAGCACTGAGTTAGGTAGTCAGGTGAGGTGTTCTCTGCAAAGCATATAATCCAGCTAGGGAGAAAGTTTGCATATATAGGAACCAAGGAAATGGTAAAAACAAAATGCTAGAGAAGCTAGGTGGCATAGTTCAAATCTTGTCTCAAGACACTTAGTAGCTGTGTGCTTGTGGGCAAATCATGTATCTCTGCCTGCCTCCATTTCACCATCTGGGAAATGGGAGTAATAATGGCATCTACTTCCTAGAGTTGTTGTGATTAAGTGAGATTGTGTATATAAAATGTTTTGCAAACCTTAAAATTCTCTGTAAATGATAACTACTGTTAATATGGTAGACAAGTTATCTCATATGAGTTAGGATTTGAATTCATGTATTCCTTTCTTTAAAACTATCACTTGGACTCTATCTTACATAGCTCTTACTATGTGCCAGGCACTACGCTTAAGTACTTTGCAATTATTATCTTATTTGATCCTCACAACAACCCTGGGAGGAAGGTGCCACTATTATTATCCATTTTACAGAGGAGGGAACTGAGGCAAATAGAGTTGAGTGACTTATACAGAGTCACGCAGTTAATAAGTGTTAGAAACTGAATTAGAACTCAGGTTTCCCTGATTCCTGGCCCAGTACTCTATCCACTGTGCTGCTCTAAATAATAGGCAAGTAACAGGCACTTAATAAATACATGTTGATTGACTTATTGATTGATAAGTTTTGTTGCTTTCTGTAACTCTCCCCCAGCTTTATATTTTGTTCTTTACTCCTATTCAATTTTCCTTTTATGTGGTCATGGCTAGTATGTACTCTGTTTTGGTTCTGATCCCCTTTTCACCACATTCTCCATACGCTTTGCATTATTTCTTTTCTTTTTTTTTTTTGGGTGAGGCAATCAGGGTTAAGTGACTTGCCCAGGGTCACACAGCTAGTAAGTGTCAAGTGTCCGGGGCTGGATGTGAACTCAGGTCCTCCAGACTCCAAGGCCAGAGCTCTATCCACTGCGCCACCTAGCTGCCCTTGCATTATTTCTTAAAGGTCATTCCAGAGTCATTTCCATTCCTCATACTTGTTTATCTTATGTGCATTATAATATTCCATTATATTAATATACTGCCATTTATTTAACCATCCCCTAATAGCAGAAAATTTAGGCAGCTCCCATTTTTTCCTTTCAATTATAAATAATGCAGCTATAAAAATCTTTGAACATCTCATGCTCCTTTAAAAAATATCTGGGTATAACTCCAGCAATGAAATTATTGGGTCAAATGTATTTTTATAACTTTTTCTGTTGCTGTCATTTCCCAGTGACTTCCTCCAGACCCCAAAAGAGCCTTTCTTTGTTAACAAAGAAGTACAGTTAAAAAAAAAAAAGTATGTAATGATATCTGCATATCACAGTCCATCCATGTCTGCTCATCTTGTGTGACATCCTGTCTGGCTTCATTTTTGCGGGTAAACAACTCCTTATCAGCCACTTTCCTATGATGAGGATATGGCTTTTCAAGAACAAACTCCTTTACAAAGTGTTAACAGGACCTAGCAAAGAGGCTACTAACTTAAATTCTCATCCCTGCTTGGAAATTAGTGATTGACTTGGTCGGAATCTTTCGGTTCAATGGTAGGAATCCATTGCAAGTACCAAATAATCATATTCATATTAAATCCATTGAGACTGTGTGGCTGAAACTGTAGGGTTTTTTTATTGGCTAATTACTTGAATTTTAGAGGTGTGAATGTACAAGTATGAATTATTTTCTTAAATATTAAAGAAAGGTTAATTGGTGATACAGGCTGATTAGACTGGGACCCTCCACTCAGATGTGACTTGACGGACACCCGTGAGAGCAAAAAGACTCAGACAGCCTTATCTGACCTACTCACGATGGGTATATTCAAAGGTATCTGAGCTCTGTTTATCCTAAGACTAAAGCATTTATAATAATAACTAGCATTGGCACAGTGCTTTAAGGTTTGCAAAATGAGCTCTGCAAATACTGTATCATTTGATCCTCACAACAACCCTGGGAGGTAGGTGTTATTATTATCCCCATTTTACAGATGAGGAACCTAAGGCTTAGAAAGGTCAAGTCATTTGCTCAGGGTCACACTAGTGTCTGAGGCCAAATATGAATTCAAGTCTTCCTGACTCCTTGTCCAGCGCTCTGTGCACCATGGCGCCACGTAGATGTATCTAGAGGTTTCTGTTTGTCTGCCTTAGTATAAGCTCCTTACATCTGTGGGCCATCTGGTGTTTACGCAGTGTCTAGATAGGATTGACTCCCTAATAATAGTTACATGTGCAGTTTTATTTCCCTGAACCAGAGAAAGGGATCCAGAATGTGGTTGTATACCTTTTTCTGTATAGTGTGTATATAATAGTATGTTCTCTATCGTTATCATAGACCTACTGAGTGTGAGACTCTGTCTTTATACCTTGAAATCCCAAACCTGACCAGGATAATTTTTTATTTAATTTTCTTATTACATTATATATTATCAATTAATCACTAGTTAAATAATTAATAATTAATATATTATATTATTATAAATTTAATTTATTTACTTCAGAATGGAATTGAAATTCTCCTCCAAATTGATTGAGCCTATCCAAACAATCAAAGTTGTTATCATTTTGTTAAGTGCCTAGAGTTAGAGGCAGGTAGGAGGGTGGCTTTCAGGACATGGAGTCAGAAAGACCTGAGTTCAAATTTGAGTTCAAACATGTAAAATGTAGATAATAATAACACTTATATCCAAGGGTTATTGTGAGGTTAAAATAAGAGAATATTTGTATAGCTTGCAATGACTTTGTATGACTTTGCAAACCTTGACCTGCTATATAAATGTTAGCTGTCGCTATTGTCATGTACTTAGTTCCTGTACTA